GTGAGCAGACGCTCTGTACCATCATCCAGGTTGTTAATGAAGATGTTGAACAGGACTGGACCCAGCACTGATCCCTGGGGCACTCCAGTAGTTGCAGGTCTCCAGTTGGGCTTGGTACCATTGATCACCACTCTTTGGGCTCTGTTGTGTAGCCAGTTCTCAACCCATCTCACTGCCTGTTCCTCTAGCTCATATTTTCTGAGCTTGCTCAGGAGGATGTTGTGGGGGATGGTGTCAAATGCCCTGCTAAGGTCAAGGTTAGGCCACATCAACCAGTCTGTCTGCATCTACCCAATCAGTCACCATGTTGTAGAATGCTATCAAATTAGTCAAGCATGATTTTCCCCTTGCTAAATCCATGCTGAGTAGTCTTGAGAACCTTCTTTCTTCCATGTGCTTAGAGATGACCTGCAGAAGGAGCTGCTCCATCATTTCTCCAGGGATGGAGGTGAGGCTGACTGGTCTGTAGTTTCCTGGATCTTCCTTCTTGCCCTTTCTGAAGACTGGAATGACATTGGCTTTCCTCCAGTCCTCAGGCACCTCTTGTGTTTGCCACAATCTAGTGAAAGTGATCCTTACATTCTCCTGTGAGCATGAAGGTACATATAATTTTGTGTATATACAGATATATATATGCACATACATGCAAAAATCCAGCCAAATTTTAGGGAGAGGGGGTCTAGCTACCTCAATTCAGTCCTAAAGCTAATAGTGTCTCAGATGCAGCAGAAATACCATCTTTTTCAGCTTTTCACTAAGTAAGGTCTGACCAAGCCCATGTCTCCTCACCTATTCCTCTTTGCTGCTTTGTTTTTTGTACTTTGTGTTTTGGCAACTTTTTCCTAGCAAAGAAAGTCAAGATGCCATCTGGAGGGTCAGCACATGTTATTTGCCAAAGCAAGCTCTACTTAGAGCATGGTTAGCTGGGTGTAAGCAGAGGGGAGAGATTAGCTCCATTTGAAGACTTGGAGGTTCCATGTAAGAAGAATGGTGGAGTTGTGTTACACAGATAGATTGTGGCTTCACTGGACTAACAGATGGCTTCTCAATGAAAGCTGATGTGATACACTTCTTCCATTATTTTTCAGTTATTGTTTCAACAGCAAAGCAAATGATGATAAGTAGGCATGAAGGTTCAAGGCAGTTTTTCTTTTTTCTTGGAGAGGAAGGTGAATTTTTGATAAAAGTATTGCTTTGGTCCGGTAATCGTGCACTGAACAAACATGGCCACTTGTGTGACAAGTGTCCTTCTGTAGCCTAATGCACATCACGGATGGTGGGGAGAAATGTTCTCAGTAGCATGAGTTACGTATTATTGATCTCTCAGCCATCAGAAGGCTTCATTTCTGTCTGCCAGGACAGTGGATTTCACCCTGTGGTCCACAAGGCTGCTGGAGTTTTGTGAC